TCTCAAAAGATTCTTTTTTTTCCAGGGTTCAAATTTGAGACCACTTATTAGCGACGGAGGAATCTCAACCATTCCATCACAACCTATATTGATTCTCGAAAGCTGATTATTTTTTCTAAGACTACACTCTTTAGTTAATTTTATGTCATGCTCTTTTATTTTTCAGAAGTGTTTATCAAAAGAGTACATTGGGTGAGAATAAGATTACTAGTAGAAATTTGTTTTCTAAAATTTATACTATTTTGAGTTCGGAGAAATTTTAGAAAATACTAAATAGAAGTTGGAATTCTCATCCTCAAAATAAACAAATTCTTAGAAAATGTTCATGCTCAACCACAAGCGCCAACAAACTTTAAGACAATAGTACTTAAACGATTCCATGCCCTCTCGCCCATTATTTGCAAGACAACTATTCACCTAAAATTTTCAGCTTTCAGGGTGTGTTTTGGTATGAAGGAAAATGTTTTCTTTCAAAATAAATGAATTTTTAATTTATTTTCTCATGTTTGGACTTAATTGGTCGGTGAGTAGAATTTTTTTTTTAATGCTTGGTTGGTGAACGAAAAATATTTTGTATAATATACATAAATCCCATAGTGTAAGAGTGAAATTACCTCCTATCCCTACTCTTTTTCTAATTACATAAATCCCATGTTTTTAAGGCCATCCGGATACATAACTAATTGGGAAGATACATTATTGTTGATACATCAACTACCATCTATTAAGCGTAATAAGGGGAGAAATTTGAAAATCAAATTCAAATCCCATGATTGACGCTTTTCAGTTTCACATTATTATCAATTATCCACTGACAAAGGATACCAGATCCAAAATAATTGAAAATTGAAAATTCAAATCTCTTCTCCCTGTTCTTCGTTTAGCTAATTTTAATAACAAAAATGAATTAATATCTAGATTAGTTTTCGTTTTTCTTCAAGAAAGATGACGAGGGCGGTTATAGGCCAGATGGGAAGGCAATATTTGCAGTTCAAGGGTTGAGTGCAGCTATGGCTAATAGAGTGTCTGCATTAGTGACAATGTCACTCGACACTGTGAAAACAAGATTACAAGTATTAGATGATGATTGTTGTAGTAGTAGTTCATTCAGTAGCCGATAATTTCATAAAATACATAATGAATATTTTGATTTTGCTGAGGCATTCAGGAATCTGGGAAAAACGAGGTTAGTTATGAGTGATACAAAAATGAAGAAATCGTCGTTGGTGAAAATATTTCATTCATCAACTTAATTTCAGCCATTGTGACAAAATTGAATATTGATACATTAAGAAAAAAATTTGAGATTCGATACATGGTATAAGGTAATTCTTCTCCATTGATTATTAGGAATGATATGGGAGTAAGATTGTACGTCGACGTAAAGAAACATGAGGTTGGATATCTCACTTGGAAATCTGATACATTACGTTGTCTTTACATCTGGAGAAATTATGTGTGTCGAAGGTTCAGAAAAAAAATACTAAAACTCTTGATATGGATATGTAAGTCATGATACATTAGTAGTAAACGAAGAGTGTGTATAGTAATTTCGTGAGTTATGGTGTGATCATTATTTTGTATCTGATTGTATATGATACATGTAACAAACAGATTAACAATTGAGTTGTATCAGATACATTTATATAACGAATGTATGTATATGACTGATTTGTATAAAATGTATTAGGTTAATATTGTGTATCTAGTAGACAATATTAATAATGTATCAATTAAGATGTATAAAGTACTTGTAGTAATCTAGAAAAATGTGGATGATACATTGATCTTTTCATCTTTATGTGTCAATGGTGTATCTGATAAATAATTTGTGACATGTTGTGTTTTAAAAAATCAAATTTGAATATATAACATTTTAATAAAGAGTTTATGTGTATATGAGACATACGTTTTTACTATAAATACATTGTTGTGACTCATATCTATTGTATCATATACATTATGTCATAACTAATGAGTTCTTTATAATGACATTTGAATCAAAAGAGTTATGAATCTGATACTTATTTTTATGACATCCAATTATATAATGTGAATGTTTTAAGTATCAGTGTTGTGTATCAAGATCACTATAATTAAAACACAAAATATAAGAATTTACATGATATAATTAAGAACAAATATATTCAAATTCAGACATTATATGAAACAATTTTTAGAGTAACACTCTAAAACTTAAGTAAGATTGTCTTAAACAAAAAAAAAAAAAAAAACACCAAATGGTGTCTATTCATTGATACGTAATCACTATTCGACATTAACCAAATCATCTTGTAGGGGTGGAGTAAAGCGACCCTTGAGCTTTGGAGGATCATCTTTATCGCTAAAATAGCGTGACTTAGCCTTTTCAGTACCGTATCTCCATAATAATGGTTCATATCTTGTGTGAAGATAATCAACTCGGAAACCATTTGATGGGATGTTGATTTCGTTACTAAGGAACTCGGCAAAAGTAGCTACAAAAAGTAAATCATCATGAGAAACATGTCAAGTTAATTATATGATACATAATTGTAACTCTAAAGTATCTTAATGTTTAGTTGATACATAATGATAAAAAAGAGTAACTAATGCTCAATACAAATTGATGATCTATAAAATCTGACAGATATTGATATTTGATACTAAATGCCCACTAGTTGAACATGATACAAAAATTGTCCAACACTTAAACATGATACAAATAATGGATTACAGTTAAATTAGTAACTTGCAATGTATCTTATGTGTGTATTTGATACATTTTAGTAATTTTTGTGTATCTGAAACACACTCTAATAGTGCAGGTTTTGAATGATACAACAATGAACATTATTTTTGTATCAATAACTTCACATAATTACAACAACTCCACATATGATACAAAAATGCTTGCTACTATTGAACATTATTTTTGTATCAATAATTTCAGAAAATTACAACAACTCCTCAAATAATGAATAAAATTAGTATAATTTACATAAATCTCATAGTGTAAGACCTAAATTACATCTTATCAATTAATTTGATACACGATGCTTTATCTATAGAATAATAGGATTTATGTATCAAGTGTATTTATTGAGTAATGTGTACATGCACATAATCTTCTAATTTAAATAAGTCTGAACAAAAATTAAACACTACAGATACATAACAACAATTGATACATGGTAGATTTTATACAATTTGAACACGATATATTAAGATGATGAAATTGTAATGTATCATAATGTTGAAAAAAAAGCATTATACATTAATTTAAGAAAGTAAAAATAACTAGATACATTAAAAATCTGAATCCATATATATATATAAAAAGGTGAATAAGAAAAAATAAAAAAAAACCCAGCAATCTGATCTACTTCTCCTTCTCCTTCTCAACATATCGATAATGTATCAGATTGTTGCTGCATTTGTGGTAGTCCATTGGATGCACAATAAAAACCTTGTCAATATATTGTCATAGCAAGTCTACAACACTGACATTTAGGAAAAGGACGAGATGAACCCCAAGATCTTATATTAGTATTAGAAGAATTTAATTGAGTAACCCCAATACTAAATGAAGGGGCCTGACCCATATGTATTAGGAAAAATATTTGAAAAAAAATGAAAGAAGACAACAATGGAGAAGACAAAACCCTACCTATTCACATGTTTGAAATTGATTGACTTGAGAGAGAGAGAGAATCCTTTTGAAAATCAAATTAATTTGAAAATTGTAACTGCTAAAAATGTGAAGTGAATTTAGGGAGAGAAAAGAGGAGTGAAAATGGGAGTAGTAAACGTGAATTTTGGCTGATGGATCTTATGTATTTGAAAGTTTTAAGAATTGAGAGAAATAAGGGATTTATGAAATATTTCAAAAAGGTAGGGAAAAATGGAGAATAAGGTAAGTAAAGTTGTGTATATAAGTAATTTATCCAAATATTTTTCAGAAAATATCTTTTATTTTTGGATTGAGACTAGAAAATACTTTTTAGGAAAAAAAAATTGATCCGAAAATCAACCCCGATAATTGATCTAGGTCTCGACCTTGTCACCCGAATTAGGACAACACTCCTATGATTGTTCCAAAATCCGACCCTGAGATCAGACTCATGAAAATATAACAAAATTTCTTTTGACCCGAGGGGGGGGGGGTGCAAAAACATTTTTTCTTAAAAAAAATAAAATTGACAGGGGTATCCCGGGCGGGGTGGGGGTGACGTAAAAAATTAAACTTTTTTTAATTTGAAACATTTTCCAATAATTTTTTTTTTGATGAGGGTGGCCTGGGTGTAAAAATGAACTTTTTTAATTTTGAAATATTTTTCTAAAATAATTTTAAATTTTTTATTTTTTTGTTTGGGGGAGGGGGGTTGGTTTGGGGTAGAGAAAAAAATATATTTTAATTGGGAGAGTCGGGTTTAGGGTACGTGATAGGGTAAGAAAAAAATATTAAAGGATGAAGCAGAATTTTGAAAAATGTTTTCCTCAATTTTTGAAGGAAAATCATTTTCCTTAAATTTGAGAAAAATGAATTGATTTAGAAAATATTTTCCAAAACATTTAAGCCAACCAAATATCAAACACACCCTAAGTCAGCAACCAACTTATCATTTTGTTAACAAATCAAAAAGAGTTACTTAGTCCAGAGCTTTTTTTAGAAAATATCTGCAATGCATAATTTATCCACTTGATGGACATAAGTTTCTTCAAATAAAAAATAGTGTTGATTATGAATACGTCAACAAAAGAAGGCTAATGTAAAATTGGGAAAATAAGAGGTTGGCTGTTAGGTAATAATGGATATGAAGTCAAAAACTGAGTTGGTCGTTTGGCTTCTTAGAAACAACCAAATACGTATTCACCAAGTTTGAAATGTCATTTTCAGCCAGCTAGCCTCTGTCTCCTCCATTCTTTTCACATGTTTCTTTGGTTTCCACTATAAATTAAGCCATATATATGCATCTCTGATCTAAAAGCGGATTGCTTACTTAAGACTAATCTACTTGAGAAACAAATATAGCTAAAATATTTACTTCAATACCAAGCAGCAATGGCAAACAGTGGAGAAAATGGAAGACACCAAGAAGTTGGACACAAGAGTCTCTTGCAAAGTGATGCTCTTTATCAGGTAAAACCAAAAACTACATGCACTTTTTGTTTTGTTCATCCATATTGTGACACAAGAAATTCACTTGTGCAAAAGCAAGCTAGTGTTATGAACATGTTGATTTAAATCAACTTTTTTGTATTTGTGTTTCTCTAGTACATTCTTGAGACAAGCGTGTACCCAAGAGAGCCTGAAGCAATGAAAGAGCTAAGAGAGATTACTGCAAAACACCCTTGGTAATAACTCATTTTCTCACTTTACTTCATCCAATTGGATACTCAAATATTGCATTGGTGAATAAAAACAGGAATATTATGACCACCTCCGCCGATGAAGGACAATTTTTGAATATGCTTCTCAAACTCATCAATGCCAAAAATACCATGGAGATTGGTGTTTTTACTGGTTACTCTTTGCTGGCAACTGCCATGGCTCTTCCAGATGATGGCAAGGTAATTAACTTTTACTAACAAATCATAATTGAACTTCATTCAGGGGCGGATCTAAGGGTACAGGTGGGGGTGCCACTGCACCCAGTGATTTCGGAAAAATCTTTGTATATATATGTATATACATATTAGAAATTAATATATATTAACTTCGCCACCCACTGAACAAAGTGATGAATGGTTCAAGTGGCGAAGGACATGATATGCTAGACGTGCAATGTGAGTTCGAATCTCACTGCTAGTTATTTTTTTGTGCACGCAGTGAAGCTTTTTTCTTTTCTTTTTTGTCTTTTTTTTTATTAATGTGGGAAGGGGTTTAGTTTTTTTCTTCTTCCATTCATTCTTATTTATTTACTATACTTTATTAATTCAAATTGACTCCTTTTCACCGTAGTTAATTCTTAATTTTTTTTAACTTTCACTAATTATTGATAAATATTAATGTATTTAAATAGTAGTTTTTAAAAAATATAAGTTTTAAAAATGATGAATATTATTACTAGAGTTCTTTCAATTTAAAGGTTCTTTTGATCTTCACCGACATTCTTGCTAAGTAAGATGACTAGGTTGAAACTACAATTTTATTCTCTCTACTATATACCTGCAACAACACATAAAGTTAATGGAATATGAATATATTCAGTTATGTTGCACGACAATCTGAATGCACCCCATCCTTTAAAGGACATGTATGTTCAGAGTTAAAAGCTCTAATTCTGAACATCTTCGACTTGTTAATTGTCACGACCCGAGAGCACTCCTTAGTCGTAACCGGCGTACTCGACCTCTCGGAGGTCTAATATAAGCCTCTTAGCATTCATTCATCGCATAAAACTAAAAACCATAATGAATTAAAAACTTTCTTTACAAGGAAGACATTTCATTAAAATAGTAAGCGGAAGACTTCTAGACTTTATACACTTATGTCTCAAACCATCTAATACTTTGAATACAACATTGGGATAAAGCCCATACAAAACTTAAGCAAATACTAGAAAGACAAAAAAAAAAAAAGGGACATGTAGGGTATTGTCCTCGAATCTATAAGGACTCACCAAGTCTTCATCTTCAACACTTAGAAACCTATCAAGTAGTCATGACATGTCACCATCTCCAAATCACTACACTTTAGTCAAAAAGGGAAAGAAAGGGGTTAGCACAATTAAGTACTAAGTATGGAGACCATGCAAGGAAAATATGCACAACGGACACTTACAAGAAATGTATGCTTTCATATCATTTTGATAAAACCTTCACTTCACAAGTATAAGAGACATAATACAAGTCAATGTTCACATATAAAACCATAGCCAACCGTATACATACTCAACATATATTCATATACAACCCATGCTTAACTTTAAAGGAACACATGTCATTTCATTACCATAGGACCTCTACCTAATATAACCTTAAGACGCACTTGAGTGAGACAAGAAATGACAGCCCATACAACCTCTTCAAGCACACTTAAGTGTTCCTCAAGATTACCTTAGATAAGGGCATCTCCTTTACAACATAACATCAATAGACCAACTTTCTTTAAGGAACCATTTAGGAGACATTCAAGCACATAAGGGGACTTTCACTTAATAGTCGTTAGACTTAGGGAACTCACTTTAGTATCTTCAAAGCCTACTCGTGCCATGTGTAGATAACATCCCATACTACTACCTACACGTTGTAGAACCTATCCAATAACTAGAGTACACATCCTACATGATGAGAATAAGCATAACCGACATAGACCATACTAGCTAGGCATGGAATCCGGAGTCTATCCTACTCCGTGGAGGTTGTTCTACTTGCCAAGGGTAGAACTAGTAAGCAACCCATGTAGACACATGGTTTACGGGATGTCAAAGGAAGTTCATTGTGCCTAATCTCATACTCAACTAGGCCACCTTCCTAACCACATCCACTCGGTGCTAGCCTTGTTTCCCATAGAGTATTCAATCACATATGTACTTAGAGAGGGTTCCTTTTCTAGTTCAACCAACTCATAGTACCTCTTCCCAAGAAAGGTCCCATTTCTTAGTCATGGCCAATCAAAGTTCATAAGGATAGCTCATTTGACTTTCTTAGATAAGGATTATCATGCCATTCTGGCTCCATCCATCTCTAAGTCTATCATCTCACTCAAGAAGGGAACTTCGCCCTAAGGCCCATCCTTCAAGGTTATATATTTACTTAAGAAAGCTAGACTTATGAAAGGGCACCATTTCTTAGTTTTGCCGATTCAAGTCTTAGCCTAGAATTCCTCTTTTAGCATTTATAGAAAGGGCACCATTTCTTAGTTCTAGCCCACTTCACACATTCATGCATTCAAGACTTTAAGTAACAAGGAGAGACACTTTAGTCTACCAACCAAGTCACAACATTATCATCTAAGGATACTTCATAATCCAACATCATTTTATATATACATCATGAGAAAAATCATACTTTATATCACAATGCTATCCACTTTACATAGGATCATCATAAGATCACATAAACTCATTCACATCATACTTTCACACATATAACTTCACATAAAACTTTACATATAGCTTCATATAGGACTTTACATATAGCCTCATTTATATATAATAATATAACAATACAATAACACTCATATAATGCCCTTCATGGCCTCAATTCACAATAATACAATATTCCAACATTAAGCAACAACTTCCCCAATGCCTTCATGGCTACAATTCACAATAATACCACACAAGAACAAGATATAACACTTCCACCAAAGGTGGATTCAACCTACCAACAACAATCAATTCAATAAAGAGAGTTCAAGCTTTCTTACCATAATTCAAAGCCATAGCCAAAATCACCAAAATCCAAGCAATCACCAATACTTCACCCATAAGGCTTACCACCCTTAATTCACCCATTATCAACAATTAATCATGAATAAACATTAAACAACACAAGAGATATCAATACCATTCACTTTACACATAATTCCATCAACTTTGAATTTATAGAAATAGACCCACTTCATAAACACATTTTAGGGTTTTGTAGAATACAAGGATTCATGGAGTTTTTCATCTTAAAACATCAAATAAACATCAATAATATCATAACTTATCATTTGAAATCGTTTCATGCAAGAACCCTTGAGTTTGAGTAGAAATTAGGCTTTTTCACAAACTTTGGAAAAGTTGAAAACCATTTGAAATTGGCTCTAGGGTGATAGCTTGCCCTAGATAAAGAACTCCCATACCTTTACTAAGATTCCCCAAGAAATTTAATGAAGAAAACGTCTTGCATCCACAACCCTAGCTCCCACTGCTTCTTCTTCTTCTTCCTTGAGTTAGAGAGAGATATAGAGAGAGAAAGAACTTGGGATTTGATTTGGGAAAATAATGAGTTAAAGGAATGTTTTAAGACCCAAAACCATTTAAAATCAACCCCACATAATAAACAATTAAAATGAAATTACATAAAAATCTTTCATAGAACCTCATTATAAAGTCAACACAAAGTCATAGGCTCTTGCTTAACCTATCATTTTTCCGAGTCGTTACATTAATACTTGACGCTTTCATCAGCCATGTGCATTCTTTAGATTGACATACAAGAGTATAGCTGCGAATTCAATTTATATTGTTTTGTTAGTTCTACTTTGTATCTGCAAACATAACTCAATACACTTAAAATGAAACAAATTTAACAACAATTTACCTTATAGAGTTTGACCTCTCCACCAAGAATTTAAACCTTTTTTCGATTAAATACTTTTCCATCACATCCTTCAATGTCGACTTATCCATGTATATCTAATCCATCATTATCTCTTTTTGCGATCTGTTCGTAATTATTAAATCATTTCCACCATCAAATGCATCTACTGGATGATCGCCAAACGTTGGGACAATTGGTAATGTATCATTTGTACCAATTAATTCATGATTGTATTCAAGTTGCAACACATCGCCTTCAATAGAAGTTTCTCCAGAATCAGAATATACTATATCAATATCGAAATTACTTATACATAAGGGATATACTCCAAATTGAGTGTTGATCTTTTTCAACTGAACATATACGCGCACACCCATGTCTGTCACGCCCCGAGCTACCCCCAAGACGCGGACACGGGACCTAGGACCACAAGTGATCCCAAGCTAACCCTGCTGACATGATCATGAGTATACTAAAGAAAATAAACTGATGCGGAAGCTAAATCATAAATAAATCTGAAAAGATGGGGAATACCCATATACTGTAACTGAATATATGAAATCTGAGAGTTTAATACAAAAGAAATATCAAACTCAAAACACTAAGCTGAATCTAACTATGTCTGAAATAAGCCTCTAAACTGACTAGAAATGTTGGGACATGCCCCAACTAGATCTAGCAAAACTGAAACTAAAAACTAAAATACTGAAAAGAACTCATGACTATTGTTCCCGAAGAATGAGGACTCACCAACTGATTCTGCTGAACTGAAGATCGGGAATCGATCTAAGCGTGATCTGGATACTGAGAACCTGAACCTACATCACGAGAAGATGTAGCGCACGTATGCGTCAGTACTTGAAAGGTACTGAGCATGCAGGATAGAGTAAAGCTGAAATAACATATAACTGAACAAAGCAATAAAGCAATGAAATAATCTGAACATGATATATATACTGAATATACTGGATACTGAGCTAACTGATGGAATGACCAAATTTATAACATGCTGAGACTGAATACTGACTGAATTGTAAATGTGGTCAATGCAATAGAGTCTGACTGAACTGTGGGAGCTACTAATAACCGACATAAAACCACATGAGCTAAATGTGGAGTCCGATATATACGCCCCATCGAGAGGACCCAATATACCCTGCCAGAGGTATAGAGGCATGCTGGCGTGATCACTAAACTGATGTTGCCCACAGAGGGGACTTACACCTACGTGGCTCGTAGTTCTAGGACTATATGGGTACGCTGAAACCCTAGTCCAACTCGGTATTATGCTACTCCCAATGAATTAAGTGGTTAACACATTATGACTGAGTTTCTGTAAATACTGGATAGCTCGAAACTGAACATGCAAACTGAGAATGCAACAATTAATCTGATAATGATGCATTCATAAACTGAGGCATGTAAAACTGAATACTGAAATATCTGACCTAGTATGTGTAATTCAAGAACTAAAGAAATACATAGCTAGGGTTCTGAATTCATGCGATAAACTGAGCAATAACATGATAATCTGATTTGGAACATCTAAATAACTAATTCATGATGATCTGTTGAAATTCTAGAAATCCTAGGTCTGTTCATAATCATGGAATCAAGAATCTGATTGAATTCTAGGGACCTAATGGGCGAAAGGAACCCACTAGTGAAATCCCACATACCTGGTGACGAATTCCACGGAGAAATCTTTCGATTTCGGGGCTGGAACTGAAGAAACCTCGCTGCGTTCTTAAACTAGGGTTCTTGACCTTTTTCTCCCTTCTTGCTTCTAATTTTCTAAGTTTTGATTAATGAATTTGACTTAGGTAAGTTCTAGTTATGTTTCTAGGCTTAAACTAATTAAAACCTCATGATTTAGGGTCTAAACGACGTATCTTAGGGGTTAAACGAAATAGGAAAAGACAAAGGACCCCTGAATTAACTGCTGTCGGAGTGATCTACGGAATGGACCTACGGGCCGTAGGTCAATCTATGGTCCGTAGATTGCGTCCGTAAGTCAAGCCTACTCGACATGCCTTCACTAAAACGAGCATAACTTTTTACTCGGAGGTCAGAATTTAGCAAACTCGGTGGCGTTGGAAAGATAATTCAATTATCTATCTAACCATAGGTCATGGGGCACCTAATTCATTTTTTGCTAAAAGTTATGACCATCTGAAGTTGACCCATCAGAATTTTCAGCTAACTGGCTGTTGATCCTCATCTACGGTCAGACCTACGGACCGTGGATCGATTGACGGTCAGTGCTGGTCGACCGTAGTATGTGTCAGAGGCTGGTAAGGGAAGTCTCGATCCACGGACACAGACCACGGACCGTGGTCTGATCTACGGACCGTGGGTCTGTCCGTGAGTCGGGACTTAGCCAAATTTTCTGACTGAGTTCTGAGGAAGTTTTCTGTCACGAACCATGGACCTGCAGGACGGACCGTGAGTCCATCTACGGTTCGTGGATGGTGTCCGTGAGTGCCACCTGTAACACCAGAAATCTGAAATCTTTATTTTCGGATACGGGGTGTTACAATGTCGTTACGTATTTTCATAGGCGTGTCGTTACCTTCGACAGTGTATTTGATTTTCATACACTTTTTTGTAAGATCGACGTTCAATTGTACCGAAATCAAATCAACTAAATCAGAATACGAAGCATATTCCTTCAACACTATCCCGTCAATGCTATATTCTACATAGCAATTCTCTTCGCTCCATTTTCCGGAATGCCGAATCAAAAATATGATAGTAGCCATGGAATTGTATTTTTGCTTTTGGCGTGAAATGAAAAAGTAAGAAGGAACATATTTTCTATTTTAAACTGATCAGAATCCTATAAGGTATAGATCAGTTACATTTTTTAAAGTGCCAAATTAATGGGTTTAAGGGCTGAAAAATAGCCTTGTCAGTTACATTAACTGACCTCATTTAGTGGGAATTAATTTTGAATGTGTTTTTATATTAAAAAAAAATGAAATGTTTATGGAATTTAGCTATTTTTTAACTCAAACTGTAGCTATTTTTTTTAAATATGATACTTATCGCTATTTCAATCTAATAACCCTAAAACTATAGTCATTTATGTAAATTTTACTTATATAAACTCAAATTTTAATGTGAAAAAAATTCTTTTTTCCTCAAAGTCTAAGTGAATAAGGCCTTTAATTCCTAAAAAAAAAACTAAATTGTTTAATTATCTCTAATCACAGAATATCTAAAAGAAAATATTACTAACATGCATGTTTGATCGATTTGTTTATAAAAATCGAAAAGGATAATAACCCGAATTGTAACCCAAAATTAAAACAACCTACCAATTTATCTAACTTGAACGATGTGGCACCTAGGACCTTCAAATCTTAGATCCGCCTCTGAAGTCTTCATTAATTATAAATAGTAGAGTACTAATTTGCTAAAATTGATGATTCAGATTCTAGCCATGGATATCAACCGCGATAACTATGAAATTGGTCTTCCAGTAATTGAAAAAGCTGGTCTAGCTCACAAAATTGAATTCAGAGAAGGCCCTGCACTTCCTGTTCTTGACCAAATGATTGAAGATGTAAGTAGATAAAATCTCATGAATAAACTGATAACTTGTGTATGATTGCTGCTAATGTTGATGATTAACAGGGCAAATACCATGGATCATATGACTTCATATTTGTGGATGCTGACAAGGACAATTACTTGAACTATCACAAAAGATTAATAGAGTTGGTGAAGGTTGGTGGATTAATTGGCTATGACAACACCCTGTGGAATGGATCAGTGGTGGCACCACCTGATGCACCGCTAAGGAAATATGTTAGGTATTATAGGGATTTCATATTGGAACTCAACAAGGCCTTGGCTGCTGATCCCAGAATCGAAATTTGCCAGCTTCCCGTCGGCGATGGCATTACCCTTTGTCGCCGCATCAGTTAAATAAACACTACTATTATCTATGAACGGAACAGAAGGCATGCCACTACTGGACTAGCTCATGGCAATGGAGGATTTATTATTTTTTTGAATTTCCCTGTTTTGAATCATTCCTTATTTTGTCTTCTCTTTTTTCCACTTCTGTTTTCTAGTAAAGATTACATTGTGTACTGAGATTCTGGGTGTTTGCCTTGATTGGACGAGTTTATGTTGCTTCATTTCAATCACACTAGACAGACTCGCGTCGGAAAAACACACCATACATACAAGCAAATTACACTTGGCAATGTGATTGTGATAGTAATATCAAAGTCTATTCTCTTTAATTAATTAGTTTTCCGTGATACATTTTTTTTTTCAAAAAATTTACAACTTCAATTATGAACTTTTCATTTTACTCTCAATGTCATGCTCTTATAGCTATATAATTGCCATGGTATATTTAAAACCATAAATTATAAATATACTATTGGTGTGTATCAAAAGTCTTTCTTTTTAAATTTACTTATGGCCGTTGTATAAAATAAAACGTAGCGGTAACATTTTTCTATTTGTGCATTTAGGATTATATTGTTGAACTTTTTTGATGAGTCAAGTTTGACTAACGCCAGAATAAGATAACTCCCAGAAATTTGTTGTAAAAAACAATTAGTAATACCATTTGAGTTTTGAGAAATTAAAAGAATACAACATATGGTCTTGAATTTCTCATCCTCAAAATAAATAATTATTATACCTTTAACAATGTCTTCTTAGAAAATATTCTTCACTTGAACAAACACCAACAAACTTAAGAATCAGAATCCTCCTTTTCTGGATCCTTGTCAGCTAAGATGATTCTATTATGCTGGACTCTCATATTAAAATAATTCATGCCCATTATTTGTAAGACAACAACTACATAAAATTACCAGTTTTATCTCATTGCTCAACCAAATACTTGTAATATTATTTATCATTGTGTTACAGAACTATTAATCCTAGAGCTTTCTTAAGAAAGCATATGCAATGCGTTAAATGTTAATTTCCAATTGACATGACTCTCTTCAAATAGAGAATACGTTTCATTCTGAATTTGTCAAGGAAAGTAGCTTAATTTAAAATTAGTAAAGTGAGAGGCTGGCGGTGGGTATTGTTAGGTAGTCAAAAAAAGGAGTTGGTCATTTGGACAAATTGTAAAAGGAGGAAGGAGAGTAGGAGACTTCACCAACTTCCAATCATTTTCAGCCAACCAAACCCCTCATGTCTCTCTTGTTTTCTTCTACTATAAATTAAGCCATTTTCATCTCTACAAAAGCAGGTTGCTTACTTTAAACACTTTTTATCTATTTCAGAAACAACAAGATACTTTAAATATATCCATAAGCAGTTATCAATGACAAGCAATGGAGAAAATAGCAGACACCAAGAAGTTGGACACAAGAGTCTCTTGCAAAGTGATGCCCTTTATCAGGTAAATTAAAGGTCACATACAAGAAATTAATTACTAACATGTTGATCCTAATGAATTGTTTGATTTGTGTTTGAACAGTACATTCTTGAAACAAGCGTGTACCCGAGAGAGCCTGAAGCCATGAAAGAGCTAAGAGAGATTACTGCAAAACACCCTTGGTAATAACTCATTTTTTCACTTTAGTTCATCCAATTGGATACTTAAAATATTGTAGCTGATATCTTCCTTTGGTGGAAAAAACAGGAATCTTATGACCACCTCCGCGGATGAAGGGCAGTTCTTGAATATGCTTCTCAAACTCATCAATGCCAAGAATACCATGGAAATTGGCGTTTTTACTGGTTACTCTCTTCTTGCTACTGCCATGGCTCTTCCTGATGATGGCAAGGTAATTAACAAATGATAATTGAACTTCATTAATTATAAATAGTAGAGTACTAATTTGCTACAAATTGATGATTCAGATTCTAGCCATGGATATCAACCGCGATAACTATGAGATTGGTCTTCCAGTGATTGAAAAAGCTGGTCTAGCTCACAAAATTGAATTCAGAGAAGGCCCTGCACTTCCTGTTCTTGACCAAATGATTGAAGGCGTAAGTAGATAAAATCTCATGAATGAACTGATAACTTGTGTATGATTGCTGCTAATGTTGATGATTAACAGGGCAAATATCATGGATCATACGATTTCATATTTGTGGACGCTGACAAGGACAATTACTTGAACTATCACAAGAGATTAATCGACTTGGTTAAGATTGGTGGATTAATTGGCTATGACAACACCCTATGGAACGGATCCGTAGTGGCAGCACCTGATGCACCGCTCAGAAAATACGTTAGGTATTATAGGGATTTCGTATTGGAACTCAACAAGGCCTTGGCTGCTGATTCCAGAATTGAAATCTGTCAGCTTCCTGTTGGTGATGGAATCACCTTGTGTCGCCGCATCACTTAAAATATACTCATCCAAGAATGGAAGGCATCACACTGCTTTAGAGGATTTAATATTTTTGAAATTCCCCTGTTTCGAATCACTCATTATTTTATGTTTTATTTTTAATTCTGGTAAAGGGTGATTGTCTATGTACCTATTGATTAATTTTACAATGTATAATTTCATAAATAAGAACAAATCGAAAGATTCTTTTCTTTCAACCCCTATTAAGTTCAAGTAAATTAAGTTTCAACATGTCATGTGGTACTAGTTATACAAAATGCTTAAAAAATAAATAAAATATCAAACAGATTCTCAGTTTCAGATTAACCAGGCTGGGGAGGATTGGGATTGGGATTGAGCTTCACTAGGAAATTGGAAATATGACTTGATATTTTGGGCTTCAGAGTAACCCATTTTCTCTGGGCCCAGCCTAGCTCAATTATAGGTCCAATACTCAGTGGACTCAGGACTGTGATTTAATTGCAACTGTCCCAACATTTAAATTGAAGATGACAGTTGTGGTACAAAAATTTGTGGTGTTCTATCACGTTTCTAACACTATGTTTTCTCTACAAATAAATCTGCCTCTCTCCGAAGAAAAAAGTTACATCATACGACTGTACAAGTGAACTAACAAAACGTGTTACCTTAAATGAGATACAAAGACTAACATTTTGTTTGTCGGGTATCCAAGATTCTAGTTAAAAAAAGGAACTTTCACATAGTCACTCAAAATAGTTTAATTACACTTCATAGTTATAGTTTGCTAATTACTATTCGTAGCTACGTGTATAGGAAGGAGAGTGGCGAGCGAGACTGGAAGAGGGAGGAGAGAGGGCAGAGAGTGGGAGAGAGGTGAATTGTATATGTATATCGGTTAGATAGTTGTATATTATACATATGTATTTGTATATTCTGGCGAGAGAGATTGGGAAAGAAAGGAGAGAGGCGAGCAAGATTGAGAGAGGAAGGAGAGAGGCGAGCGAGATTGGGAGAGGGAGGAGAGAGGCGAGCGAGATTGGGAGAGGGAGGAGAGAGGCGAGTGACAGAGGACAACAATTTGCATAATTCACATATCTTTTGTATAATTCGCAGGTACGTTTGTATAATCGGGTAATATAAAATCTGAAATTATACAAATATAATAAAACTCGAAATAACGAATTGATACAAACATAAGCGTATGAACTTTAAACAATTATGCAAAATATATTATACAAATTACATTATATAAATTATACTATACAAAATCCAAAAACTACACGTTTATACAAACTTTAAAAAGTTATACACAAAAATATTGAATGTATATGATGACAAAACTGAAAAATCAAAGGGAATCATTGTCATATACAAATACAAATCAAGCAAAGAATTGTTAGCTGTGAATTATACATATACAAACATGGTTAATTATACAAATTTAAAATCAACCCACATAACTAATGTATAATGTTAATTGCGAGTAGTAATTATAGCAACCTATAGCTATGATGAATAATTGAATAGTATAAATTTACTTAACCGTGTAATTTTCTCTTAAAACAAGTCATGTTGTTTACTTTTCACAAAATTGTAAGTATTGAGTTTCATTAGGAATACTGCAAATAATTATAATGGCTCAATGTCGAGTAAGGTAAGATCAACTATATGAATCTTCACTGTCCCTATCGCTTCATTTAAGCTATGATATCATAGCCAATGTTGTAAACGATATTAAATTGAAAGACGACACCACCACCACCACCAACAACAAATGTCCTTCAATCTAGAGCAATTTCAGGTCGAATTTATGAATCTTGATTGCCCATGCCGCTTTGTTTAACTATCGACAAAAGCTATTACCGTACTATCAAGAAAACGAATGTAACCAAGACTTAAATTATGTTTCTGGTGGTGGAGCAAAACTAATGAAAAAGATAAGAGTGGTAACTGAAGACATAACCTGCAATTGAATGTTGCATACTGCCCAAAATAGGAACCTTTCTTCACCGGCAACCTGGTACATTTTTATAGTTATCTACAAGTGATTAAGGAAATAAAGTGTAAGCTTCAGTTCCAAAATCTAACTTGTACTTGATAATAAATATTGTCAACCTGCTTCACAATGAAATATTCACGCACATAGAAGATAAAGAGTCCCATCTTTAGGTCTAGGTTATTTGATACTCGTAGAAACTTGTGTCCATATCCACTGTCAAGATACAAAAGAAATTAAAAGATATTATTGAGTGACCATTTTAGTCGGGCACAAAAAATACTATATTGAAATTCACTTCTTTGCGATTGTTCAAGTCAAACACACAAAAATTATGACTTTTTTTTTTAAAGATTCTTTGAGTGGCACTAATGATCTTGATTTTTCTAATTTTCGGTAAACTATTTATCTTAATTTCCGCCCTAATTTGAATATTTCTCATGTAAAAACTAAACATCATCAACCGATATAAGTAAATGTAAAATAAAAAATTTATGAATGTATTCAACCAAATATAGAAATTGAAGGTAAAATTTAAAAATCAAGAGGAAATGGAGAAAGAAACATAGGAAGTACCTTAAGATTGCAGCAATATTCTTGTGATGAAAGAAAACTGCCCAATTTTTGTTTTGATGTAGTAGAAGAGAATATGATGAAGGTCGGTGAAAGAGGCAAGGATGCCAGCACAATAACCACGTGGAATGAAATGGAGAAAGGATAACAAATGAAATGACAAAAATGCCCATAATCAATTAAACATATTCCCATAAGCACACATGTTAGCTTTAACCCACTCTTCTAATATAGTAGAAAAAAGAAAATTATAGATAGAAATTCATTGTTTATAATATATTA